CACGGACAGCCGTGAGTGAAAAGTAGTGAAGGAATAATGACTCTGAGTAATCGGTATAAAAAGACTTTATTACAATAATACCGTACTGTATTAATAAATAAACAAAATTTCGTTAAGCATTAGTATTTCAACATGATGATGTTTTGGTTGGCATATTGTTCTTATCTGTGAACTCGATATTTTCTTGAGTAGAAAGTAAGCTTCGATAGAATCCGAGTGTAATAAGTTCTTTTTGATATCATTAACAACTGGATTATTACTGTTCAGTTTCGCTACCATTAGTATTTAAAAGACCATAGACACATTTGGCACGAAAAACTGACCGCTACTAGTAGATGTCCTGTGACCTTCCCTATCAATTATCAATCTCCAATCGTTAAGTCTATATTCTTGTTGTGACATACCTAAAATGAAGCATCATTAAACAATCAGTCAAGGCTTGGAAGCCTAGTAACTGTTCGACGTCCAAACTTTAAGATCGGTAAGGCTTACACATTTTCCTTGTCATTGCAGGTGTCCGTATGTCCACAAAAAGAAGAACGAAATGTCAGATATTTTTTTTTTAAGAATTTAATTTAAGAAATAAAATGCATTCAATTAAGACGGCTTTAAATACGACACCAACACGGGAATCTTTATTAGCCGCCAATAGATTTATAAAAATTGATTCAAAGTTCATTGATGAATCGAAGAATCGAATACAAGATGCTTTCTTTTATACAACAGTACAAATATATCTAGTATAGTATTTAGATAATTTAATTTTCTACCCATAATTACATTAAGCTCGAAGAATTACTGAACTTAGCAAAAATAGCAAAAGAATTTCTGGAAATAAGAGCATTTCCTCGACCCCCTGATTTACGATTACCATTTCACTGCCTCTTAATGAAACTATGGATAAATTGAGCTATATCTCTTATACCGTAAGTGCTAAAATCGCGTGATTTTAGGGACTTTGGCAGACAGCCAGTTACGACCGTTGTGCGACCAAGTTACAGAGGGATCAGGAGTTTTCTTTGGGAACAAACCTCTTATGACGTCAACTTTGACCTTTTTGAAGTTATCATTTCCATACATTATCCGTTCTAACTACTGTACGAGTAGAGCTCAAACTTGAGGAAACAAATAATTAAAACTAAAATGACTCGAATGACTTAAAAATCAGATATATCAAAATTTTATAGACCTACATGCATTGAACCCACGTTTTTTTTTCCTACAACAAACAAACTATCTAAGTATACATTTCAACTACTTGTCTAGTACCCATAGAACAAGCTTTGCTTAATTTAGAATTATTTATTTACTTTAGGTTAAATTCATTAACAATTACGATAAAGAAGGAGTAAGATCGCTACATACGTCCTCATAAATTAAATAATAGGTTGTGATCATACAATTTCATTGCAGAAGAAATATATACACAATTTACGAATTTTGCTACGGAACCTAAACCAATTTGTGACAACATCTGATCATATCTCTGAAATATTTGATAATTTCCTCTCTTATGTCAGAAACGCCACTATCATACCCTTCAAATAGAAATAATAACATACGTATTGCGGCTATAATTTTGCCTCTTCTGCCGCGTCTTGTTTGCAGCAAACTTAAAACTCCAAATCGCAAAAATATCTGCCATCTTTTTTTATGAAGTGAACAAAATCGATGCGAACGTGATGCGGATATAAACTAGAGTTACGTAAAAACCGATTCGACGCGGTCTACCTTCTGAAAAAACTATTACAGCTAAATCCTATAAATTAGACCTTCGAGCCGGATAAATTCATAGCGGCACTGACTGAAACATTGGAACCAAACGAATATACAGTTTAAATACTCCTCTATTATCTTGTTGCAAAAACTGTTAAACTAATGATAACGGTTATTAATAAAATAGTAATAAAGAATTTTAATCAGGTGACCCGGTGTCATGGACCGATAATGATTATCATGACGTCACCCCCTACCCCGCCAGCCGATAAGTTCGATATCCACGCCAGTAGCTGACTTCTTTATTGTTCTAGACTAAAATGGATTAAATAAAAAGTGCCCTTGTCTATGATCCTTACTAATACTCGTATTATAAATATCAATGTTTGTTTGTTTGTTTATTACCCGTTTGGTGGCTGACGTCTTAACAAATTACTATGAAATTTGGTATACATATAATATATATGTATAGGATGGAGACTACTTTTGTCCCTGGCAGTGTACGTATCCTGATCACGCGGACGAAGACGCGGGTAAAAGCTAGTTTCATTATAATCCTTTTTAGTACAATAACGAATAATTGACTAAGACATATTGACATTACGGTGACTGTACAATAAGCAAATTATGAAATACGATAAAATCACAACCGGAGGTGGCAGGATGATATTATAGCTGATCTCCACCACGCACGATCATACGCTGGCGGGGCACCAATGAGAGATGACAGATGCGGAAAGCAAGTCAGTTAGTCTATCCTGACAAATTCAAGAATTAACCATGACAGTTTATAGGAAAAAGTGGCAGTATGATCATCTAATAGTGTATATTGCTAGCAATGGGATTATTTGACAGTTATACAGAAGGGTCGCACATAGAGAATTTAAAAGAAGTAAACATAATTTATCACAAAATAAATAATAGTACCTTACAAACATTGAACGGATAGATAAATACTAAAATTGTTTAGATAAATTGTAATAATAAAAAAATCAACATTCAGACTGCTAATAAGATCATTATAAATAACGTAAAAAAAAAAACAAATTTTATTTAAACTTTTTTCTCTAAATTCAATCCAGGATAACATATCGTAGTAATTAACCTCAGTTTAAATAAAATAATACAATAATTTAGAATTCCACAAAAAAACCGACTTTAATAATGGCATAACCAGTTATTTTGAATTCAGAACTAAACTACTGAACCGATTTTGATAACATTTCTATTGGACCAATCTGTAAGTATATCCTTTCAGATAAAAAAAGATTTTTCCAAATCAGTTTACAGCTATAAGTAAAAGAAACACTAGGTGTAATGTCGTATAGGGAGGTCAAGGATATGGCCTAGGATAGAGCTGGCTGGAAGAAGATGAATGAATTCGTTGCACCGACAAGAGGAAACTCTTAAATGGAAAGAAGAAGTTTACAGCTGACGGAGATCTAAAGTAATAAACATAAAAAAACGAATTAAGAACCTTATTTATTTATTTATTTATTCATTAGTACAAATATGTGTACATGGCGGACCTAATGCTAAAAGCATTCTCTCCAAGTCAACCATAACCTTCTTCTTTTTTAAGTCTTTTAGTTTATATGTACACTAAAAAATATATAAACAGTCTAATTGTAAATACTGAAAATTACATACATTGTTTTTTGTGTCTATGTACTCTAAATATTAATAGTTGTAGCACTTCAGCTGCCCGCTAACAACATGCTTTCCAACTGTATTGGGTAGACTGGAAGAGATCTCTGTCAGAGATAAGTCCACCCTTGCTCACAATATTTATAAATGCATTAACAATGTAATTTTCAAGTGCAATAAAGAATATATAATAATAATAATGAAATACCATTATCGTAGGCATGTAATACCGTATAAGAAGTCATCACACTACTTTAAGTTATATCACGATAATAGTAAACAAAAATATTAAAAGAAGTGTCGACTTTAAAACCAGCTACTGATAGAAAATTTGTCATTCAGCTTTACATATGTATAAAAACTAATAAATCATAATTTGCTAGAAAACATTAAAGGAATATTCAGAACAAAAGAACTGTAATGACAATTATAATATAGATGACAGTTTAAATGGACTTGCAAACAAGTCTATTTGAATAAATATCATTTGAATTTGTTGAGAATGCTTATGATGATATAAACTGTACAATATTTATCAATTGATCCCCATATTCCAAACTACAATATCAAATACAAACCATAGGACTAAAAGTCAATAACTCATTATCAGATAAGGCCAACTACTACGCGCTATAACTTTCCTTAATGAGTTAATTATTAAATACCAATTCTGAGAATACAGCGTAACATAAACACACAAAATTATCACATTTTATCCGTCAATTATAAACAATGTCTCTGCTCTCAGATGTCACACATTTTGCTCCACAAAAAACGACTCGGGGCACATATCAATAAATGACGCGAGATATATCATAGATTGTATTTGAAATATTTGAATTTGGAACGCCGAATCGCATGTATAGACAAGTAAATTTTGCTTTGCAACAGTTACTTCGCAAAGACTTAAAATCACAGAATCAAAATGAGACCAACACGCGAGTAAATCCCATCAAATTCTAGTGGCACATAGCAACATAATGTTTTAAAATAAAAAATAATTCAGACGAATAATTTTCATATTTTTAAAATCGTTTAGAAATATTCCATGAGCTTATTCTGAATACTCCAAAAGCAGCTGGTACTTTTGGAATACCTGTTCAAGGTTTAAAGTGAAAATCATAGAAAAGATCGTTAGAATGAATCAAAGCAAAGACAGTGTATGGGAATGCGGAAACATTAAACAAACGCTCATGGAGGCAAGTAATGAACAATGTTTCATTGAAAACAATCGTTAATTCTTCAATCGAAGTGACAGAACGTTATAAGGTTAGCATCGAACACTGAGTAGTAATAAAATTCTTAGTATTTATGTTCATGCTAGCTTTGTTTATAAATAACTATTATTTTTTATGGCACCTTTAAAAGCGAATGTTGGCTTCGACTCTCGATTATATCGCTATTACGTTTCCCTATCTTATTTTAGTACCTATTTGTTAATGTCTGAAGTCATTGAAACTTATTACATTGTTTCTAAAAGATAAAAAAAAAATAATGACTTGGCATCACAACAGTTAGATATCGCATACAAAATAACTGTCCAAATTCCCAAGTCCATACGGAAACAAATTGTGCAAAAAGCGTGTACAAGAGAAAGATATATAAACACCGGCCGGCGTAAATAAAAACAGACGCACCTTAGCCGAGGACGTCATCTTGGCAATATCCGAACTAGCGTGCGCCAAAAGCGAATTCCGTAAAACAACACATGTTCACTGACAGATCACTTATAGAAAGCACACACGACCCAGTTGAAGAGACTTTAAACTATATACAATTTCGCACGACCACGTCCAGCAGTAGAAAAGTCAACGAGATCGACACTTGGCAACTCCGGCAAGTTCAGAGATATACCTCTGTTGGCGGTCGTCACGAAACTAGCGCGGGCGCACTTGCTGTGTCCGTCCGGCGCGGCGTCCGCGCGCCACTCGTCTCATTATTTAATAACCAGATAAAAGATTATCTATTGAGGCGTCCTCGGTCAATATGACATGAAATTACGTATTTATCGTTGAATAGTGAGAATGGTAATAGGTTGGACCGCTTAAGGGTCAGTCGGCGTATAATACATAACTGTTACTGTGCTACGATGTAATGAATTTATCAGAATGACGGAATACAAATGTGAATTGAATTGTTATTATCTTTACTACTTTATACTATGTGTTAATGGCGAACTGAATTTTCAATTACTTAAATCAAATTATTATTTATGATTTTAAAATTATCATTAGAAATGCTAACAAAAATCAATACGATACAAGTAGACACACTATAAGAGTTTAGATATGGAACCCTGAAAACAGCCAAGAGTATGCCAAATATGAATTGTGTTCCGTATCAGTTTAGCATTCAAATGTAGATGCTAAAATAATACAATATCCGAAAATTAAATGATAACAAAGTATCGTGTATGATGGATCTATCTACGCTCTTGTACCACTTATGTATCACGCAAAGATGAACCGAACGATGGGTCGCGGCTTGAGACACTGAGTAAGTATCTTTGCAGAGCTTAAGCTACGTACAAGCGGTCAGTTTTAGGTACACTTACATATCCTTCAGCTGTGATCAGAACTGATTTCATCACCTTTGCTTGAGTTTTGGTTGTTACTGTCATTTACTTCTTCAAAGGACATGAAAAGCTATCATCGGATAAGCCATGTCTGAGACCTTCGTATACATTGACGCCAGCAAAGGAACTTTTGATACCAGAGAGCATCACCCATACATTTGAGTAGATTTTAGTCAATTGGTTGAAAGTAGAGTGGTAACACTGCCTACACAATCAGTATACGGTGGCAGGGTACCTGAATGACATAAATGAGAATGTGTTCAAAGCAAATGGCCTATCGTGGCGAATTCTTCTGGAATTAACTGCGATGGTTATCAGAGTAAACTACGTGGACGTCGACGAGACAGAGTATATTGCTAGCAATGAAAACTAACCTTCCCATTATAGACAATCCTTTTCCTTACACACACACGAGTAGTAGTACTTATAATGATCAACAGCACTTCACAAGAGATTACGTGTGAATGTGTGTGTGACACTCGTGAATATACGTGTGGACGGTAGAATGGACCGTTTGTATTTGTCTGGAGCTCTGCAGTGATACTTATTCATGTATTTTAAGGTCCGTAACCGACACACATTCGAGAGATAAATGTCGCCAACCAAGATAACAGTTAATTTGAACACAAGAAGAATCTTGAACCAATATTAATTAGGTATAAGTATTAAACAAATTAATACAGAAAATAAGATAAAAAAGTAGCCATATCATGTCAAATTGTTTGAACATTGTTGTTATAATGCACTAAACAAAATTGGACACGAAATACTAGATGACGCTAGAATCGAGATTTTTGGTTTTTGTTGATTATTCTGTAATTAAAGACAATTTAAAGAAAATTTTCTAAATTGGCGAGTGGTTGTATGTATTTTTTACCAATATATAAATAACTTATCATAAATTTTGTATCTATTCTCTTGTATTGTACAACTTTAAAAAAAAAACACATACTATCAAGAAAAATTGCAAATGTGTAGATTATAACTCATTCATGGAAAGATTGCCTATTACCTGACTGTTCACATTCATATATTCATATTTGGGTCACTGCGACACACATGGCGAAAACATATTTTCGTATTTTACCTTTTGTTTCATATTTAAAAAAAATGTAATTAATTTAATTGTATGAACTCATTTGTTAATTTACTTGTGTCATAAATGGCTCAAATAAAGTGTTTATCTAATCAATTCTACTCACCAATTTACAAATTATACTTCAAATTAACTGTAATTATAAAATAATCAACAAAAATTGGAAGTCTGAATTCCAACGCCACAAATATTTTTTGTCTAATTTTGTTTAGTAAACAACCACACTTTTTTTTTAAACAACTTAGAATAGCAAACAAGCTGACGGCCCACCTGATTGAAAGTGGTAACCATCGCCTATGCACATGAGCAGTAACATGGATATAACAGAGTATACTGTTTCACCCATGATACCCCCCATGCGTTGCAATTCCTGAGGACTCAGTTGTTATTTCTATGTACCCTGTAAATTCACTGCCATATCCCACCCTTCAAACCGAAACACAGCCATGCAAACACAACTGCTTCACGGTTGAAACACGAATGGGGACATTAACTAACGACTTACAAATATTCTAAATCAATTTAATTTTCTAATCTTTATAATAAAAACTAGCTGACTCGGTAAACGTTGTTTTACCATATACATTATTTCTAGAACTATACTTGAAAATCTTGCAAACCTATTGCAGAATATAAAAATCGTGATTAAAAAATAGGGGTTGATCGTAAAAGGGTGAAAATTTGGAGTTATATGTATTTTTCTATGCTAAATCATAATAAAACAAAAGTAAAAAAATTTGTTAAAAAAATAAAGAAAAATATTTAGGGGTGGGTCACCCTTATCATAGAGGGGTATGAAAAATAGATGTTAGCCGATTCTCAGACCTACCGAATATGCACACAAAATTTCATAAAAATCTGTAGCCGTTTCGGAGGAGTTTGGTAACAAACACCGCGACACGAGTATTTTATATATTAGATATTTTTTTTTAATATTTGCTTATTCTCCGTACCACAGTCTACGTATAAACTGTCATCGTATAAAATTAAATGACGCAAAAGTACATTATAAAAGGATCTATGGGGCTGAAACCGATAATCCGACTTGACCCAACTCCATGTCACTGACATGTACTGTCCATAATTTAATTTTGTATTTATGAGCATAGGCACAGAAACGCAGCGAGTACATAAATAGGGGAGGGTGGGGGGGGGGGAGGATTATTAACAACAAGGACTAGTAATCTCATTGTCAGCAATATGTTCCTTCAGATCAGCCTCTACCCGGTCTCCCTTGGAAACCATCGTGGTTAATTCTTGTTCAATTCATCACGATGAGCCAACAGCTATACTTTCATCATCACTCATCATTCGTATATGCTGTTGGGACTCACTGGAGTCCCGAGAGCATTTACGAATAGCACAACCGGAAATACAATTTTAACCGATTATAAAAAAGCTTCCTTAATCGCCTCTTACGACACCCTCGGAAATAGAAAGGGTGGCCTTTTCTATGCCAGGATCACACGGCGACATATCTTCTTAATTAACCCAAATGTATCGACTTAACTGCATATTATTTATTTATTTAAATAACTTTATTAACGTACATAAAATAAGGTACAAAGGCGAACTTAATGCCTTCTCTACCAGTCAACCTTTGGGATAAACAATGAATCACGAACGCGGTACTTCATTATTGAGATAGATTAAGAAAATAACAAGTATTAAATTATACCTATACACAATTACCAGGGGGAGACTTCGTACAAAAGTCGTTTGCTTGGGCATCTCTGTCCTATTCGTGTTTCTACCGTGAAGCAGTTGTGTTTGCATGGCTGTGTTTCGGTATGGATAAGCAGTGAATTTACAGGGTACAGAGGAATAACACCTGAGTCCTCAGGAATGGCAACACATGGGGGGTATCATGGGCGAAACAGTATACTCTGTTATGTCCATGGTACTGCTCATGTCTATAGGCGACAGTTACCACTTTCCATCAGGTGGGCCGTCAGCTTGTTTGCTAATAGATATATAAAATATAAATAATATAAAAGATAATGATTAGCTACTATTGTAATAATGCGTTTATAAAGTAAGCATGGACTCCTCTTTTGAACATGAATTTATTAGGAAGTTCTTGAATATCTTCAGGCAGTGCATTCCAGAGTCGTGAAGCTTGGATGGTGAAAGAGTCTGTATTTACTTAAATCTTTGAGGTCAATAAATTTTTGTCTTGATTTTTACATTAATTATTATTTACATAACTTTTAGAAACAATAGTTTATAACTTCTTAGCGGTAATGTTTGTTCAGCTGGTAGACTGAACACCCCGGGCAAAGTTCGAGCCGACTGCCTTTTATTGAACGTTACGTTCCAGTTTGAAGGATATTCCATTTCTATACATCGAGGTAATGGAGCGTGCAAAATGTATAACGAACACTATTCTTGTAATATAGTTAAGTAGGTACAGGAATGTACTCCTCCCAAATTGTAATATGGAAAATTTATTTTACAAATGTAGGAGGTTCTCAATTCGTATTTTACTCGTAATGTTTATACATTGTGAAGATTATAGTATTTTTTCCCCAATATTGAGTAAAAATTTTTCTGTTCATGAAATTTTGGAGAAACGTGGATTTGGGTTTGGAGAGATTTGGGTAGTTGAGTAATGGTTATGCTACTTGTAAAGTCTGTAGAGGTATATTATAAATTAAAATACTATATATAATAAAGATACATAACAGAAGATAAGGAGAGGGGGAAAATAGAAACAGAAGGAATGACCTTTCTTTTCGTTGTTGACTTCGTTGTAAATAGTAAAACGTAGTGAAAACACGACACAAGTGATTGCGTAAAAGTCCCGAAAATCGTATGGATTTGGAGAAAAAATATTTAACTTTTGGGTAAAAATCGAAATTGACATCTGTCAACCCTGCTCTGCAATTGGTGCACGGTGCTTCGATTGCCAACAACTATTTTTGCTCAACTGTCGAAGAATGAAGCATAAATGCTATTCTATCTAATATGAATGTGAAAGTGAGTTTTTTTGTTATAGCTTAAAATTTTAATGACTCAACTTATATATATATATATATATATATATATATATATATATATATATATATATATATATATATATATATATATATATATATATATATTAAATATATATATATATATATATAAAATTAAATTGATTTTTATATAAAGACTTGTTTCGTTTACCTAACATAGTAAAAAACATAGCAAATTAAAAAATAGTCGATTAAAATTACAATACGTCTGGTGTTTAAGCAAAAGCTAAGTGTATTTAGTTACGTTGTTATTCTAGAAAACAAAGAACAATTCATACTGAAATACAAAAAGAATGAATATCATTATGCCACTGTTTATATACCTACAGACAACAGAGAGCGACGCGTTCACGCGTTCAATGTAACGTTGCCTAATTTAAAATAAATAGATGGGTAAACAGACAAAAAAATATTTACATTTCAATATAAACACAATTGGAGAATTTTTAATTTGTTTTATAAAATAAAGTCTTCGATCACCTGATATAGACTCAACAAAAATAAAATAGTTATTTGCTCTCATCATCATTATCATAAAATTAATGAAAAACCAACATTGAGCAAAACTGTCGATGGCAAATAAGTTTGTGTTCCAAAAAAAGCCCTTTATTTATGGCAAAATAAGTTATTTTGATTCCAAAACTAAAAATTTCTATGCG